AACGAACGTAGGTACGGGTTAGGTAGTAAGTAGTAGTCCGTTCGTCGGTCGGTAGTAGTACTACTACGTACGTATATATATATATATATATATATATATATATATATATATGTGTGTGTGTGTGTGTGCGTGTGTGTATGCATGTATATGTATATGTATATATGTTACATAGATGCATATTTGGATTATGCACGAATACTTGTATATCAACATGTCTGTAGATAAACATAAAGGCATACGTGTTTCCCTATTTGCCATTTGTCTTACCTGCGGCGTTGGGAGTATCCCATCGACCATTTCCAAGTGCTTTTGGAGCCTACCCTATTCGGCACGGCTGTTGATTTGGTAGTGATTTTTTGAATTTATGGTGAGAAAGTATGCGTGTCCAGACAACATCCCAAAATTGGCAGATGCGGTTAGGGTATGTATTATCTCCGCATGTTAGGAGAGTCACTTGCATCAGACGTCCGGTTTCATCCATTCGCAGAATCGTTGTTACACAATACACACAGCTACAGTCATGTTAAATCAATTACCGATCAATCAAGTACATCTACATGTACCACCCAGATATGAGGCACAGTGTATATATAACTCAGCAACAAGTTTGTTGTCACCTTTTGTTTGCTATGATATATGTGCACTATTCACGAGTAGAGGTTTACCGTATTCAAAACGGGCGATGTAGATGCGTACAGCACACCGTTTATACTCCACCATGCCGTATAAGTTTATACATGTGTAGATTACCTTTCTATCTACAAAACGCTTTACAACCGACTTCACAAATTTCAGTAAGATTGAAAACACGAACACAGACACTGCCTTTGCAGCAACCGGTGCTCCGTATTTGAAGGTGCTAATGCGCAGATAAGAATGGGGCTGTGCGGGATATCACGTAGTACGTATTGCAGCAACTGCATCTAATAGGATATCCGTTCATATAGAACCTGAAACGAATTGCACTGCTGTCTTTAACGATATGTTTCAATATCACAATACAAGAAAGCGATCAACAAGCTACGTTGGTCATGCATCGGTAACTACAGAGATGCATCACAAGACAAGCACGACAAACAAACTGACATTGGCCAAAACTTTAGTCAACACCTATTTATATACGTGAAATGGCATATGCATATAACATCTCATACGCTACCGTATGCACAAGAACGTCAAATGACACATCCGCATAACACCACATCAACCACAGGAGACGTACCGTGTGTATGACTTCAAATAGTCATCGAAGGCGGCGTTACGGAACAAATCAATCAGCTGACTCACTTCATCCCACACTTCAGCCAACAGAGGCACTTCTGTTGACGCCGCAAACCCCGCAACAGCTGGACGTGTAGTTATATGACCTTGGGAATCTGGACTTGTTGATGTGGGATAGTTGGTAAGGAACCAGTTTAGTTCATTTACCTGGGATGCACCTTGGTGTAGAAAGATATATGCGCAACATTAGTTTGGTTTGTTTGAATGGGATGCACATTGGTGTAGGTAGGTAGATATATGCGCCACATTTATATGGTTCTATGCACCTATGCTAATGGTGAGGTATCAAAACAGCCAGAATTATGTGTATATGTATGTGACTATACGTATGTATATGTATGTGTCTACCAATTTGAACCATATTTGGACCGAAGAAGCGTATTTCAAAAGTCCTCACTTCGAACTTTGAGGGTTTTAGCCTTGTTATCCTGCCGTGTAATCTTTTCATGGCCTCGTAGTCTTAAGCCAATGATCAGACTGCCAGCGAATGGTGCAGTGTATAATTAGAGTACGAAGTCAGAACGTATAGATATTATTAACACACCAACGACTACTTTAGAACCCAAGCATCCATACAACACAAAAAAACACAACACGTACCTACTAACCACTCAACTAACTATCCCACTCGCACACTTGATAATTGCTCATGCCAACACAAGTACATACACACCCTTCCCCACTTATACAAGACACACACACGCACAATTACACATCGCAACGAAAATACAACCGTATTCTCACTCATACAACTCAAACACAAACACACAGATACATTCATATTTTTGCCGTTCATATGACATACACAAACGCACAAATACAAATATATTGTCAATACTTATACACTATCACAATCGTACAGATATAACCCCATTTAACATAGTTAGATATAGACCATATTCTCATTAATCATACTACATACACACAAATGTACAGGTACATTCGTATTCTTATCACTCCATTAACACACACAAACACATAAATAGACCCATATCGACATTGCTCATACTACACACACAAACGCACAGATACATTTATTTTTTCACCACCCATTTAACACACACAAACACACAAATGCAACAAGGTTGTCAGTACTAATACTAAACACAAACAGTTTTCACCACTCAAAATACTATCCAGTCCTATCGTAATACCTGAGTAGAAGTGCAATTTTACCAATAAAGCGATGTTCACGAGTACATACTGTGCCGACTAGATATTGGAACACGCAAGTAGTTTTGCGCACTCTGCATGATTGCCATGATGCCTTTTACAATAAAGATATTATCGAAGTTATTCTTTTTTATGTTAATATCGAGTATTTATTTATTTTGTGGATTGTCTAGAAATCCTTCGACATGGTCCTCCACACGCCATCATCATCTTCCAGATGATCGAACACCTTGTGGATGTTTTCACTGGGGTCACCCATGTCTATTAGCCGCTCCCTCAGTGTGCCCGTATGCAGCATCCTGACTCTGGTGCTCAGGTAGCTCCTTGTGCTTGGGCCTGAGCTGTCATGATCTGGACCTCCTTCTTCTGCAGGCGCCGGACAATCCTCCGAGCTTATAGGAGGGGCGAGTGGTTTAGGGTCTTCATCTTCTCGAAGATCTACGCGCCTGTCAGCAAACGACAGGGCCCGTACCTGAATGGTGCAAACACGTGTGCCAATTAGCGACAGTGTCTGTATGCGAAAAAGATACAGGCTGATATATAATGCAGGGTCACACTAAAGCAGTTCATACGCACAACTTACAATCTTCGAGGCGCATTTTGACACGCGGGTCAAGTGTTTGCGCAGTCTATTCGGCGTCTCCCGAGCCATGGACGCATTCCTGCGCGTCCCTTCAAAGAATTCCTGAGTTGTTGGGGGTTTAGTTGAAGTTAGTGATGAACTTCCCGATCCCTCACTATATACAAATGAATCAGCATCAAATCAGGCCGAGATATTTTACATACTAAATCCTCCCTCAGAAATTTTTCGTTCCCCTTTTTTATCCGCCAGTCTATGTAGTCTGCGGTATTCCTGTGTAATTCGCCGAAGTTCGGCATTTCGATCATCTTAGTGACGACCTGTCAGTAGTGTGAATTGAAAATGGACTCTTAGCATATATAAGTAATTGTACTCGAATATTTTACAGTTGTAATTAAGATATATTTGTATGTGATCTTTCTCAAACACTAAACCACACACCTTATTTATAATAGCAATGCGCTCCAAGTGAGCGGCCCCAGCCTCGGCCGATATGACCTTTTTCTTGGGAAAATTGATTCGTGTCCGTCTGCTCTTCTTTTGGTCACCATCCGCCTGCGCCACCAGATTCAGGGCAAAGCATGTGGCCAAATTCCTGCAACATGAAAGCAGATAAATTGACATTACATA